CATCATCATCACCATCACCATCACCACCATCACCATCACCATCACCATCACCATCACCATCACCATCATCATCATCATCATCATCATATAAATGGAGATTTGAATGGGAACATCAGCTATAAATGGGAGATTAGATGTAGTTAAATGAGAATAACATGGCAAGACCACCAGGTCCATTTACATGTGTCTCAACATGGGGATGTGAAAAACCAGCGATTTTCTGGGGGTATAACCAGCAATCATGGGGGGGATTTGGAACATTGGATATGGGTACAAACCATCAAAATAGAGATGTTTCACCCCAAAAAACACATGGGGGCTTAACTGGCTTAACTTTCGGCTGAACCAAAGAACATTGGAAACGGCTTCATGAGTCATGAGAGTATGTCGGGGACAATCAACAAATACCATCTGGTTATTTAACATAGCCATGGAAAATCACCATTTTTAATAGGTAAACCATCTATAAATGGGCCATTTTCCATGGCTATGTTAAATAACCCAAGGGTAAGATTGCAGTGGGGGTTGTCCCAAAATCCCAAAATGGGGGATGGGTGCCGCATGGCCATGGCATGCCATGGCTATGGGTGAGCGGAAATGATCATTCGAACTAATTCGGATATAATACGCTGTTCCCTACACCCTAGATACAAGGGTCCAAACTTGGTAAATATATAAAAAGGACAAATTGTCTTCAAAAAAGTGGTGGAGACATAATCTATGGTGAAGTCGCAGTGATGTCATTTATAGCCAAATATAATTGCAAACCAATGGTAAATAGTGGGAGGTATGACTGGATATAGCTGGATGTTCTACCCTCTGGTAATTTAACATAGCTATTGAAAATGGTCATTTATAGTTGATCTACACAGTAAACATGGTGATTTTCCATAGCTATGGTAGTTTACCAGGCCGGGTACTTTTTGTAAAGTTCAACTCGTATTACAATGGTATTGTCCCCGATCGATTCATGGATTCGAGGTCCAGTCATGAGGGTACAAAAAAGATGATCGGAGGACAGGTTTTTTTTAATCCCCCTGGCTAGCTGAAAAGACATGGAAAATCGGCAAATATCTTTTTGCATCAGTTTGTTCAACCAACAGTTCTTGGCTAAACATCCCCACCTTATCTTCCCCAAAAGTATTGGTCATTACAACTGATTTGTATCAAACGCAACAAAGCACTGAGCCTGTCAACTAAAAGATTTAGGATTCTCAATGGCATGTGATTGGGTGCAGTTCATCTTGTGCTTCATCTGTTTCGGATAAAGAATCCTGGTGGGTTTCTCATGTCATATGGTAGACCCAGTCTGGTAAAAAAAGCATGGTGTACAACCACTTGAAAGCAAAGGCCTTGGGATATTACATGGGAATGCACCATGTTACTATTGTTGTGGGTACATTCCGAACCAAAATGGAAAGCAAAATGGAAACGCTCTTCAGTCCTTTCCTGGTCCCAGGACCGACAGAAGAGTATGGCCAAGTTTACAAGAATTCGGTGCAACGTGCACTGCAACGTGCAGACAGCACAAATCAGCTGCGATGCTGGTCTCATGAAGGTTCGTGTATACATGTAACATACGTACAGTATGTAATGCATTTATTTATTCATATACATGTATATATATAATGTGTATATATATATATATACATATAATGTATATATATATATGTGTATATATTATATGTATATATATATTATGTATATATATATATATATTATGTATATATATATATATATGTTATGTATATATATATATAGTGTGTATATATATATATTATGTATATGTACAATGTATGTATGTATGTATGTATGTATGTATGTATGTCTGTCTGTCTGTCTGTATGTATGTATGTATGTATGTATGTTTATGTAATGTACCCTTAATTGATCTTAATTATACGTATATGATACAATTTATGCCATGCAATGGCTACTAGTTTGAAGCTATCCAAAGAAAAATCAACAGTGAGGTTGACTATTGGAATGGGGATGGATTGGCAAAAATCCAGCCCACCAAACAGTATGATGTGTACGATTGTGCATTTGTACGTGTGTATACAATAGTATATTACAATAAAATTACGGTAACATACGGTAACATGTTTTAATTATGTACAAATATAAATATATATGAATATATAACTAATAATAATAATAATATATTTAGATATATATATATATATATATATCCATGCCCGGTCATTGATGTTCGCATCACCAATGCCGCATCCCCGCATCCATTCTGACAGAACGCCTTTTTGATGCCTGCGATGTGGCACATCAAACCAAGGCACTGTCAGTTCCCAGCCAACATGTTCGGGTTGCGCCTGCCAAGTACCAACAGGCCAGTTTCATTACTGGCTGATTACCGTAGTTTCATCCAAGAAAAAAAAGATGTGTCACGGTAGTTTCATATAGGGTATTCCAACATCTCATATTTACATATGATTATATATACAGTGTTGTATACATTGTATACTGTGTACATATATATATA